TCATCACCGGAAACCACATCAGCCAGATCGGACCCGAGTCTTTCCGGGGACTGGACAACGTGACGAACTTGTCACTGTCTAACAACAGGTAAAGCAATGATGTATATCTGAAGCCACATCGACTTCATCTGACTCTTAAAATACTGTTAACAACTCTTTCTAAAGTTACGGTGAATCAATATGGAATCTCCTTCAAACTGTTCAAGAATCTTTATGTCATTTTGATCACAGTGGAGGCTAAAGTCAATGTAAAACTTTAGTGTAGCAACTATAATATTTTGATTTTAAAAGGGGAAGCTCATGCTTAAGGTGTTAAATGTGTGTACAGGTTTATTCTCACATCCTTGATTAATTCTACTTCATTTCTTCATAACCCTACTAGGTCACTCGTTATTAAAAACAATGTATGGCTCTTTTAAAAATAAAACTGAACTATATAAACGTAACCAGATTTGAAAATTGAATCAGTCATAAGTTATATGATTTCCTTCTGAATGTAAACAATTCTATTCAGAAAGTTCCCTTAACAGGAAAACGTTTTATCTCAGATTTACTCATTTTACCCCATTCTTGCCATGATGCTGACATGGTATAAAACAACCAAATAAATAAACACCCCTCAATATCTGTTGTAGTTTTGACCCTGCAACTACACTTTATCGACATCTGTAGTTCAATGGAGAACCTTTAACATCATGCAAAAACGTTCTATTGTGTAAAAGGTTGGATTTTCACACTAGATCACTGAAAGGTTCTTTGGGGAACCAAAAAACGATTCTACTACGGCATCAAAAACCCACCTTTATTTTTAAGAGTGTAGTGTAAAATGTTCCTTTTCTCCTCTACAGGATCTCAGAAGTGAAGTCTCACACATTTTCTAGCCTGCGGAGCCTCAGATCGCTGGACCTCAGCAACAACCAGCTAGCCGTCATCCACCCTGAGGCGTTCACCGTCCAGAGCCGCATGCTGAGGGAGCTCAACCTCAGTCGGACTCTCTATAACCACTCGTCCGTCACTGATTTAGCCACCTCTCTTCGCTGGAGCAGCCTGGCTGACCTGCTGGCACTGGACCTGTCCAGTAACGGCCTTGTCTACTTGCCCCCGGGCATCTTTTGCCATCTTGTCGGCCTGCGGCGCCTTCAGCTTGGCAAC